TTTATAACGTGGATCATGCTACTCTTATATGTCTGCACGGTGTTGTCTGCAAATTTATTTTGTATTCTCTTCTGGTCCAAGCCTAGAAACTTGGTCATTAGCCTAGTAATTTGTGGTCGCTATATTTAGAAATTTCAGGGGTCCAGGGGTGGTGAGGTGGGATTAGGTTCACTTAAAAAAAACTATTTTGATTGATTCAACTAAGAATAGGATCGATTGGCCGCCATATTGTGACATCATAGCTGTCAATTCAAACCAGTTAGGTAGAGTGAGCAAAAAAGTTTTTCTTTAATAATTCTTATTTAACAAGATTAAATGAGAAAAAATATCAGATTTTTAATAATATTTATTTATGAAGACTGAGTGAAAAAACATTAATCAGAATCTAGCTCTTTAATTCCGCTCATCTCTGCACTACCGTCGGAGAAGACATCATCATCACTGATGCTTTCGGCTATAAAATAAAATATCGTTTATTGTAGGTTTTAAAACGACACCCTTCTTTTAAATTAAAACGGTATTTTTATTACCTGTACTTATAATTAAACTAAAGTTCTAATATTTCCCTTTTCCATCACTCGTTTTCTATACGTTTCATATGATTTTTTTCCTTCTTTTGTTTACAAATGGTTGGTATTTATTCTAAGATTAGCTCAGTGCTAAAAAAATGTTTTTAAGATTTTTTTGCTAACTGTACTTTTAAAGCGATAATTGACAGATGTAGGTCTTTGGCTTTCCTAATCTTATTTGAATCGTAATAGTATAAAACAGCCCGGATTCGCCCGACAGTCGCTAATTCATGTTTTTTTACCGTTGTATTTTATTTTACACTAGCTTCCGCCCGCGACTTCGTCCGCATTGTAGTTTCTTTTTTAGAATCCCACATAACATTTTTCCGGCATAAAAAGTAAGCTATGAGTAAATTTAGGTAATAAACTATTATAAATTTCATCCGAATCCGTTCAGCTGTTTTATCCACAAATACATACATGTAAACTTTAAAGTTAATATTTGACTAAATTTTTATTATTTCTATCTTATCCGTGCCGGGAGCACCGTTGGTCCCAGCTGCATCTGCAGTCGTTAGCAACCACCATTCTGCATCGGGCCCGCATGGTGGTCATGTCATGTCATGTCATGTCACGACCCATTTAATTTTAACCTTTAACTGACTTCAAAAAGAAAGAGGTTTTTTATTCGTCTTGTCAGTAAGGAACATACAATTTTTTTTATAACGGAACCTTATTGCTTACTCTCAGTCTGTCACCGGGCAAGCAGTTAAAACTTAAAACTTTTAAGTTATAATTTTTATATTTTAAACATGTAACTGCTTGATGTTTAAATCTAAAGAAAATATAACTAGAAAAAAATCCACGCGGACCAGGCAGCAGACGGGACTTAAAACTTTTTGTTTTTTTTCTTGCCTTCTAAATAAAAAAGTACGTAACAGAATAAAGAAAAAAAAAATATAAAAGTGATCGCTAAAAACAATTATTACACCGAAACTTCTGATAGGCATTGCAACGTAATTAAATTTGTACGAAGTCCTATTTACTCTAGGCCGGTTTTTATCGTCAGCCGTATATCGACCCCAAACGATTGTTTGCACATGAATATGGCTTCATCAGCTCATTGAATCAAGTAAGATCCGTCTTGTGATTTGTATAAAACGGGTATAAACGAAACGGAAGTACCTACTGAATTAATATTGGTATCTAAATTCCTAAATTCTGACCAGGCTTCTTCATCATCATCATCATTAGCCTTTTAATGTCCCCACTGCTGGGGCACAAGCCTTCCCTATTGATGGAATAGAGAGATTGAGCCATGATCCACCACGCGGGCCCAGTGCGGATTGGTAGGTGCTACCGAATGCAGATACAGCCGGGACCAACGGATTAACGTACCTTCCGATGCACGGATGAGTTCGAGATAGTAAATTTTTGGTCACCCATCCAATGACCGACCACTGCGAAAGTTGCTTAATTTCTTATTTGTCAATTACTTTGACTATCTGCCCTTCGCTTTTTCTTTCAATTAATTTCATAGTTGTGAAAGATATTATGTTACTATTGGTTACCTACGACTTCGACTGCGGAAAAACTTATTTCCCGTACAAACTTTCACTTCAGGAATAAAAAGTATCCTAAGTATATCTTTCCCGGGACTTAAACTATGTATCTATATATAGGAAATTTCGTCTAAATCGGTTCAGTAGTTTAGAGTGAAGAGGTAACCTTAAAGACAGAAAGACCTACTTTCGTATTTATGATACTAAGTATGTATGGATATCATATGGATCTCACAAGAAAGCGAAAGAGATAAAGTTAATTAAGGGTGCGAAAGAGTTTTTGATATTCTTGTTTGGGGAAGTAACATCTACCTTTTTTTTATTATTTGATTTGCAAAACCGAATTGTGAATATGACAAAATAATTACATACAATGTATCTTAACAGTATCACAAATCTTTTGAATGCAAACACAGCATGCGACTTTTAAAAATATGTGAAAATACTTTCTTTTTTGGTGGAAAACTTGCAGGAGATCAGAGTGAAATATTAAGTACTACCTTTTGCTGTGTTAATAGGGCTCCGCGGTGTAGATTTGTGTGGTAGCAGAAGGTAGGCAACGGCGCGTGCGTAAATACTATGGTATAGCAAGCTGCTTTAGGCAGCTGCACACCACCAGCAGTGCTATTTTGTAAAGATTCAAAATTTTCCGTATCGGATCCTCGTGTGAAAATTTTGTGTCTTTCCAGAATAGCACTGAAGGCGGGTTATATGTAGGGTTGCCAACCCTACTATATAATATAGTATCCTACTATATTAGGGGATCAAATACTATATTTCTATAAAAATATATATAGTAGGCGTTATAATTTTATTTTTTAAGCATGTAACTGCTCGATGTTTAAAACTAAAGAAAATATAACTAGCTAGCTAGATGGAATTCGACACGGCCATCAGGGCCGCGGTAGCATAATGGTCAGTGCATTCGCCCGGATAGCGAAGGTTCAAGTCCCGTCTGCTGCCTGGTCCGCGTACTATATTTTCTTAAAGCAGATATTAGCCAGTAAAAGTTCTTAAAATAAAAGTTCAATTATTAAGGCATAGAGCAGCAAAATTACATTCTTTCAAAAATAAAGGCAAGATTTTAACCACATACTATATGGTTTTCCATTTTTTGCTATCTACTATATTTTTAGTGGTAACAGCTTCGAAAATACTATATTTGATAGAAAAAAGGTTGGTAACCCTAGTTATATGCCTGTTTGCCACCTACACCACGTTTGACATAAAAAAACCAATGATGAATCAGTGCCGAAACACCTATAGTAATTTATGTTATTACCGGGATTGCTGCCATGTACCTTGTTTTTTACAAGTCCCCGATGTCGAGGTACTCCCGTGATCCTGGCGCTTGCAACAGTGCCAAAGTATCGGGTACTGGATGGGAGCATGGACGTTTAAAACAATACTGCATACCTATCTAGTCTCAGACCAGGCCTATCAGGCCTATGCTCAGCAGTGGGCGTCGTAAGGCTGACATGATGATGATGATCATCATCTAGTTTCATTCTCATCTAAGCTTAGGATAATAATAATATTCTTTATTGTATAACACCACAAAGTACATAACAGTAAGATTACACTGACAGAGAGACATTACACAATGGGCGGCCTTATTGCTTAATAGCAATCTCTTCCAGGCAACCCATGACGGAAAATTAAATAAGTATATAAGAACAAAATAAAGGGGGAAGGGTGTAAGAGCAATATTATAAAATAAAATAAAAACGGTAATAATAATATAGATGCATATTTATATGAAAAAAAACAAAAATAAATAAAGGAAAGAGGTATTTTCAAAGTAAAGATAGGAAATGACGCTTAACTTGCTCACGGAACGAGTCCAGAGTGCGAGCCCTTCGTATGGATTCCGGTAATGAATTCCACAAGCGAACAAAATGCACAGAGTAGGAGTAAGAAAGGAAATCAGTCGAATGGCAAGGTATTTCGAGAGTGAGATTAGAAGAGGGGCGTAGAATGCACTGTGAAGAGGATGATCGAAAAGAGAAGCATTGTTTTAGATAAGGTGGAGAAGTAGGATTATGTACTTGAAGGTGGCGGTGTGGTTGATGCACAATAGGAAGCCCACACCGCCACCGCCGGCAAGAAGGGGACTTCCCAGAGTTTTGGTGGGTAACTAGGGCTCCCCCATCCCGGGCAGCTGATGAGCTGGTTTAGGGGGTGGAAGGGATGAGGGGAGACGAGTCTCACATAACCCCGTCGCCATGTCCAGGGGCGGAGTATATGTCAAGCATTTTCTCTGGGTAAAAAAGGTACCTATGAAGTAGCCTCCGTTAATTTTTACGGAGGTCGAAACATCAAAAATAATTTATGCAATGGTATTATTTTATTTCTCACCTTTATTGTGGAGACACCTGAATTTTAATTACATTCTTATCAAATCAACTTACTAATGGGTTCTTTGAATTTTTATCGAACGTCATTATATGATTGTTTGTTAATAGTTAATAGTCAACCGCGTTTTATACTGTGCCATTGTGTTAAATGATTACATAGTTAGTTCCTTCTCTTAAATGTTGAAGTGTCAAGGTATTTTTACACTCATTAAACTATTCTTTGTTATCTTTAGAAAGTGTCGTTAAAAACCCTTTGCTTTATCAAAAAAGTTCTGAAATAAATTGTTGAAATCCGATGAAGTCACAGAAAGATCACTTGCAGATCACTTACGAAAACTTTTCTTACTGGGGGTCTACCGGACCTACCTAGTATGATTTGGAAGTCGAGCGGGTTCAACATTGAAACTTGGTTCACCGCCCGACTTCAAAATCATACTAGGACCCGCCCAATTCTTTGTGAACTGGATATAATTTTTTACTTTTTAGTTCCATTTCAAAACTATCTAGTCGCTTTTATTGTTTTTAATAAAAAATAAAAACAGTTTAGTATAATGGAAATTATTTGTTCACAGATGAAAATGCGGCTTGGCAGTATAGTAACGTCGTTAAGTAGTTTAATCATATTATTTCAGTGGTAAGTTGGTTTAATATTTTCCGATCTGTATGGTAAAATAAATATTTGTGCAATCAATTTACCACAGGATTGTAAAAAACAAAAATTTATTTGACGTAAAAAAACTTATTTTCTTCTTCGTGGTTTTTGGATGATTTGATGCGATACATGTGTGGGCCAAAATCAGAGAGGTGAGCATTTTAAGTTTTCAAATATCTGAGAAATTAAGTTTTCGTTTGAAGAAAACTAACAAGTGGAGCCTGTTGTGTCATTTGTTATGAACCTTTACTATGAAGAGGCACGTACAAAAAAAAATTTAGAAAATCTACCACTTAATAAGAATAATGCCAGACACAAAACTCATTTCGTGAACAATTAAATATTTTTTTAATAATAATATAACCAACGCAACGCATTGAAGAATCACCTTCAAGAAATTGTAATTAACCTGTTCCCAAATCGGATATTGTTATTATTGTGTGTATTTTTATATTGAAAACATTTATTTTTCAAAGTACTCTGCATAAATTTTCAATTGGTGTAAATTTCGTTCCGTAATTTCAATTTATTGTATACTTTTTTGCACTACCATAAATATTAATAATATAAATGCAAAAGTTTAATCATCATCATTAAATATTGTATATGCAAGATTTAACTATAACATTACTTATTAGTGATGTATTTGCCTTTTTGTGATTTCCCGAAAATGATGGGATTTACTGTCCTCTATTAATTACACTTGCAACAAATATTCGGTTACTATTCGGTATTCGGCCTATTCGGCTGCTTTTTTTATATTCGGCCGAATACCGAATATCTACATATTATTCGGCCGAATACCGAATACTTAAATAATATATTTTGTCATAGAGAAATAATTGGTAAAATGAAAAAATAAAATCGATTGATTACGTATATATTCATATTTTCATTTCTGTTATATATGTATAATCATTTAAGTAGGTAGTCATTAGTACATAACACAGGTACATAATATCATCTTCTGAATTGGAAAAGTGGAGGATTCTATGTATTTAAATTATTGTGGTAATCAAAATTTAGTAGGGTAAGGTTCTCATTTCTTTTATAATCATTTATTAAGTAGTCATTGGTACATAATTTAATCATTTTCTGTATTAAAAAAAGTTAAGAATTTTTTATGCATTTGAATTATTTTCATAATCAAAAGGAGATTGCTCAGCTTCCATACATGTTTGGCCTAAAGACCAATAATCATGAAAAATTGTTTCCTAGATTCGAAATTATATATAAATTACTGTAAAAACTAATATTATTGACGGACACCCCTGAGAACTTCTATAAACCATATACACTGAACATATTAAAATAATAAAAAACAAATAATTTATATAGTAAACTAGGGAAATCAAGCCAAGTACCGAAATTATGGATTAGATTCAGGTATATAGAGCATGTAGATTAACAGATAGTTGCCTGTTTTTAAAGTTAATGCATAAGAGTAACTTTTAAAATCAGGTGTCAATATGCATTTCCGGTTATAAGGTACTCTGTGACAGAAACTGTGATGATTGTGAATGAGCCACAGATTAGAGAGAACTTTTCAACTCTCGTTAACCAAAGAAAGCTAAGAGGTTTAGGTTATATAGCCATATATTCAGTAGCTTCATTTTTTTGTGTTTGTGTGTGTGATTTTTAGTGTATCACACCTTATAATTTTATTTATTTATAGTCAGGCAACGTAGGCACATAAATAAATACCTTAAAGTCTAAACAGATTATAATGTGTTTATGGAGGTGTTTGGCGAAAAATGTATGGCAATAGACTTTATGATGTCGCCTACCATCTATAATAATTGTCTGAGCACATTTGCATGTAGTGAAAATGATAATATAGTTGTGGATATTAATACCACAGTGTAATAAAAAAAATATTTATTTTATCGATCTTTACAAAATAGATTAGTTTTTATGTTATATAAACAACTTCGATCAGTCTTTGGCTGAATGTTACTACACCCATAGCCATTAAAAATGATTCATATGTTTTCCAAACCGGTAAAATGAAAAGTCCTTTTTAAAGTGAATATATTATACAAAGGTGTCCGTTGAAATCTAATGACTGTAAATTAAATTACAAATTACGCCAAGAATTACCGTGTATGTCAATATTTTTTGTGCATTTTTATGACTAAAATGACTATTTGATGAAAATTTTCATGTCACGCTGGACGCCGGCGCGCGCCGCCATGTTAGATATTGGTTTTAGATAGAGTCCGACCGAAAATGGTTTTCCGGCCGAAACCGAAACCGAATATTCGGCCGTGGCTTCAGTTTCGGCCGAAACCGAAACCGAAACTGAAACTCACGTGGTTAAGATTAAAATTCCTTAAAATATTGAAATTTGGTGCATTTAACAAATTATTCAGCATTAATTAGGACATGACATGGAAACACAGTATATTAATTTTGTTGTAGGTAATAATTTATTAAATATAAAATAAAAAAATATAAATAATATTTTTATTATTTTTTCAAATTAAGTTCTCATAGCAAAATTTTTATCAGTTATCAATAATCAATTCACAAATTGTTACTGTTTCATTAAATAACCATTGGTATTTTGAAGTCTTATTAATTCATACTTTGGTTTGTATTTGTACTTAGAAGAATCATCAATCTCTTTTATCTCAATTTAGGAAACTGCAGTTCTCAATATAGGATATGCACTGCTGTGCGAGAAACGAAGTAAGGCGAGCGTGCACGACAACTTCCGAAATCAGTTTCGGTTTCGGCAAAAGAAACTGCCGCCGAAACTTAATTTTTGGCCGAAACTCCTAAACCGAACTTTCGGTCGGACACTAGTTTTAGATGTTATGAAAAAGTTGAAAACGTTTGTAAATATAATTTGTTCATTGGTATTTATAAAACAAAGAAAAAAAGATCTTTACAGCTGACGAATTCGTTAATTAGGTACGTAAAAATTTAATGGCCTTTGGCCACACTTACGGTGTTAATTAAATTTAATGCTGGCCAAAATGGCGGCATGGTCTTCTTCTGATCTTGTCAATCAATGGCGGTATATTCCTTTTGTTATGGAATACCTTTGCTAGTGTCAAATATAACTTAGAGTTTTAATTTAATACACTTTGAAAATTTCGCGTTGCATCATACCTACCTAAATATAATATAATTTAATTTGTTAAATGTTATATTAGACTTTTAATTGATCCAATACATGATCGCGCAGTCTCATGAAACTACTTACAAAACAGAAACACTGTGACTTACACTGATATCTTACAAATACACTTGCAGACAATTTGCAAAGTAAAACGGGGGAAAAACGACGGGTTGCACTCCGGGAGTGCCGGCAGAAGTGAAAACTTGAATATTAACGTTGTGCATTTTTGATATTTTGGAATGGGTAGGGAATAATTTTGTAGGAATTTCTTTAATTATCAGTATAAAAGTACTATCATTTATGTGGTAGAATACAATATTTATTTATTGCGCTATCGTACACAAAAATGTCAATTTATATTACATTAAGAAAGTTTATCTCTCAGAAAAATCAACTTACATGAATCACGCTTAAGCGCACTTAGCGACATCTATTGTAAAGAAATCAACTTAGATGAATCACATTTAAGCGCACCTAGCGACATCTGTTGTAAAAAATGCATTTTCTTTGCAATAAAGCTGCCACGTGGACGTCCTAGATAGAGACTAATTATTATAATACGGTAAAATAAAATATTACTATGTTTCGTCCAATATATTGAAAGTCAACAACCTTTCCAAATTTATTGTGTGTCATGATGCGATCAGCCCACGTGTTTGAACCTGACGCGAGTTTAACATTTTTTACCCATACAAAAAAAATGTACAACGCCGCTAAAGAAGTTTTCATTTCAATAAATCTTTAATAGTACTTAAACTGATCGGTTTGATATGAAAGTTACTTAATATAATAGGTGAAAACTGATACTTAAATTCATATTGAAGGCCCTGGATGGTTACTAATAGCGTTGATGACTGTGTAATTACCTCGATAGCTTCCTACTTACGTACGGTACGATACAATTATCGTATCCATGTATGATTGTCTGGATGTAAAATTACCTAGCACATTAATGGAACAGCCCCTCTAGCATGACCACCGAAACGGGATATGATAAAGCGATATATCGACATTAACTGTCAGACTACTGTCAAACTCCATAGTAGTCTGACAGTTCATGCCGATATATCGCTTTATCATATCCCGTTTCAGTGGTCATGCTAGAGGGGCTGAAGAAGAAAATCGTATCGATTTCGCAATGTAAGAAGATTCGCTTATCAACTTTGTATATAAAGTCTGAAAAATAAACTTCAAAATGTTAGCACCGAAAAAAAGAAATAGTTGTGTCGATTCTAGCATGATTCTCCAAACCTAAAATTAAATTTGACAGCAGTATATCCTTGTCATTCTCTATACAGAATGAAAAGGGGAGACTGATGTTAAATTTTTAAGTTTAGAGAATCACGCCAGAATTGGCACCAACATCAGCTTAAGGGTGAAAGAAATAATTTAAAAAATTTAAATTCTTATTGCTTGCTGATCGTAACCGATCGAAAATAAATACCCGAAAAAACTAGACGTAATTAAATCTACAGAGGAAGCATATTTTTAGTCTGACGCAGTCACAAGCAAGTTTAAAAAAATATTTTATACTTAACCTGCTCGTAAAGTGCTTTCTTCTTGTTTTAAAAATGAAGCTAAAAGGACCTCATTACTGTTGTAATACTAAGCACCGCAAGAATTAAACTACCTAATCAGTCATTGAGAACCTTTACCGTGAAATCAAGAAACCAATTTAAAGCTCCCAGGCAAAAGTTTAGTAACTGTAACAATTTGAATATAATTTGTTTCTTAGGGTTTCACGCACATCACTCATTAAATAAAACTAGTTTAAACGGGTTAATGCACGAAACTTTATTTATTTATTGACATTTCGCAGCCCTTTCAGGTCTGCATCGTCAGAATACTGATTTTTTATTTAATTTTGTCGAGCTACCTTCGAAACACTTTTCGACCCTTCTAGGTTGAGTCACACTACTGCTCTTGTATGTATTGTGGTGTAGGCAACGGCGTGGGTGATATTTTTTGAATCGCAAGCGTCTATGTTGGCTATGGTGGCAGCTTACCATCAGGCGGGCCTTGTGCTTATTTGCCACCCGTTTAACATAAAAAAATTAATGACTGTACGCCGTTCATTAAACGCAACAAATAAACTAAGGCTGGTTTCACAGCTATCCGGGAGACCTGTACGGGCTGTCAGTACGGGCGCCCGGAGCGGGAGCACATGTTAGGCGCTAGAACATCGCTTTCACAGCGACGCGGATTGGTGCGCCTAACATGTGCTCCCGCTCCGGACGCCCGTAAGGGTCTCCCGGATAGCTGTGAAACCAGCCTAAGAAGACGAAGATCAACAAGGCCAGCATTGAGTACAACGTTGTGTAGTCATATAGATAAATTAGATATTGATGCAGTGGAAAAACAAAATAAAAGAAATTTTATTTGACTTAGCTGAATCTTTGTTTTTCATACATCTACAATGGACTAACTTTTAAATAAGTCATGTTGTTAAACGTTATGTGAGTCTAGTTCAGTTAACTATCTAGCAGCCTAAGTTTCTAATTAGCTGGCTCGTTGCTTGCTCCATGCATAATATACTGACTGACGGACAGACATAAAGGCAGTTGCTTTTGTATTTATGACGTTGGTTTAGTACGGATGACATTATGACCTTCTTTTAATTTCGATTTGTAAACAAGAAATCCGTATCGATATTGTTTTCTTTTATATCAAGCTATCAGTTGCTCAATAAGCATAGATAACGAAAGTCACTCGATTTTATTACTATGTAGGATTTGGGTGCATTTGATTACCCAATTGATTAGATATCTTATAGTGTTCGTTCATAATATTTACGGTCGTTCTTAGAGACGTCCATTACTTTTACGTTTGATTAAAATTAATAATGTCACTATCTTTGCTTTAACAATAGAGTGACACAGGGACGGATTTAGAGGTGTGGGGCAACGAAGGAGTGAAGGAGCCAAAATCTTACGATTTAGTGACCCGACGAAATTTGATTTTTATCTTGTTAAAGGGGCCCTAAAATCCGGCCCTGGAGTGACAACACGTGACTTTATTGATATTAAATGACCCTACGACAACGGCTAACTAGAGCGAAGGAGGTCCGAGTCTCAGAGACGCCCTCTAGTTGAGACGACCCACTCAGGTTCGAGTGGTCTAGAGGCTCCAGACGGAGAGGAGACTCCCCCCGTGGGGGGATGCCTTCCTCCTGGAATACCTCTAGAGGCACTCGCCAATTCTCAGCTTGAGATCCCCCAAGGGTTTCGCCGTCCACAGACCTGGTGACGCTGTAAAGGTCACCTATGACCGGCAGCATACATTCTCAAAAAAAAGAACAAAAAAAGGCATTAAATGTATTTGACGACTCTAAGCACGGCCGTTAACTTATTACTTTTATATGCTTAAACACATGAAATAAGTATTTTTCTCTATAGTGTATCAGCAAACGACACACCATGGAGCTGGACTTGTGATAACGGCAAATGCATTAAGACTCGCTATGACAAAACCAGCACAGAGCCCAGCCTGAGCTTGGAAGCCTGCAAGATGTTCTGCAACGAGTATGGTGAGTAGGACCTCTGATAAGCCCATTAATGTCCCCACTGCTGGAGCACAAGCCTTCCCTATGGATGGAATAGGGAGAATGGGCCGTGACCCACCACGCGGGCCCAGTGCGGATTGGTAGGTGCTAACGACTGCAGATGCAGCCGGGACCAACGGCTGTGCCTTTTGAAGCACGGAGGAGCTGGTGATAGTACATTTTTGATCACTCATCCAAAGACCGACCACTGCGAAAGTTGTTTAACTTCAACAATCGCAGCCGAACACGCTAACCACTCAACCAAATGCTCTAAGCTCGCGTCAATTAGCTCCTCTGCGCCGTGAGACTTATGACTAGAGACCGGATTGTATGCAACATAAAAAGCTTGTTATATGCATGCAAATATGCATGAAAAGCTGGCAGAATAAATTTTTAATAATAAAATTCAATGAAAATTTTTAGGGCCCACAAACATTTTTTTATTTCAAAATCAGCATACAATGAGTATTTTTTGATAGGCAATAATAAGTACAGTAACATGACATGACATTAAAATTATTTCCAATTTTTGTAAACATATACAATCAAGTATTTATGTTTTTATTTATTTTTAAGCATTTAACTGCTAGATGTTTAAATCTAAAGAAAAGTTTTACTAGAAAAAAATCCACGCGAACCAGGCAGCGGACGGAGCTCGAACCCGCACCCTTCGCAATCCGGGCGAATGCACTGACCAATTATGCTACCACGGCCCTGACGGCCGCGTCGAAATTCTTATAATCTGATCTCTTTATGACCATTTAAAAGGTCACCTTATCCTGAGTACTTTCCCGGTATGAGATAAGGTTAACTTTGCTTGGAGTAATGAAGTCATCTTTGGGACAGCTTTGCAAAAACTTTGCTGATGGCTGTGGCTGACCCACAGAAATTTTATGACGATGTTCCACTTTCTGAATGAGTACGGTCTAGTTACATGAACTGATTATAGAAAACAACTGAGTTCCTCAACAGACGCGAAACCATTTTTGATAAAACGGAATTAATTCCTCAACACGAAAAAGAAGAAGCGATTTCAGTTATGATTTTTATTGAAAATAAAATAAGGGTAATTTAATAGGCTGTAGCTACTTTATTTTCATTAGACATTTTAAGAAACAAACAAACTTAAAAACTATATAGCTTAACCTACTTATCTACTTAAATAATTAATTTACAAAATAGAAAATATATTACCCTCAGCGCCACTATCAGTACCCCTAGCACGAACCAATATCGAATTCGTATCGTTTGCGAGTCCGAAATGTCATTGTCAAATGTGTACTGATTTTTAATTCTCGTTACGTACTTTGTGCCGCTGCTGTTCAAGTTTCCATACAAAATTTGACATTGACATTTCGGTTTGCAAACTATTCGAATTCCATAATGGTTCGTGCTAGGGGTACAGGAATGGTGCCCAATAGGCTGGCATCATATTCGTTATGTAACATTTTTGATAAACTTTCATCGTTACAGGATTACTCTGGCCGAAGCCCACAGGTGATGTGGACCTCGGCAACTACCTCTCCAAGATCAACCTGAAAAATATTCATGTCAAAATCCTGAATAACGGCAAATCTGACGACTTGATGGAAGCAGCAGCCCAGGTTTGTTTTTAAAATACAGTGTTTATTTTTATTTGGGAATACAATTCTGCTTTTCCACTTAAGCTCAAAATGATACAGTTCTGAATGAGAAAACATTTCCTCGCTTGGTAACCAAATGGAAACATCAGAGCGGCCGAACGAACTCGTAAAACGATATTTGACTGGACCCTGCGAACGAATGCTCTCTTGTTCAGTCATCAATGGAAGCAACGCAACATAATGTCGCAAGGGATTATGTTGCGTTGGGATGATGACTAATTTTTTCTTCTTCGTTTATCAGGTAGGTTATCAAAAAGTATTGGATACGTATTTTTTCTTTTTTCACATAATATAAACATTGCAGAGATATATTGATTTAAATGTCGCATGACGTCACGTTTGAGTACACTTATAAGAGAAAATTCACTCAAAAGTGACGTCACGAGCCCTACTCCCAAACTTTAACGCTCTATAACTTTGTCATTTTTTTGTTGATTGCCCAAAGAAAAAATACGTGTCCATTATTTTTTGATCATCTAACTGACGGACTAAATAGAATTTCGTTTACTGTACCCCGTCATCACCCCTCGGTAGCCCGTAATCGGGCACCCGATGCGATATTTACTCTGGAATATAGTCTGAAAAACGGTGACGGGTAAACCAAAGGAAATCTACCTGAATACGGGCGTACTTGACTGTGTTCATTTACACTTAGTTCGTTTACCCGAAAACCATTGCCACTTGTGTTCTTGTGTTCGGGCTAACGACAAAGTGAATTCGCGCCATTGTTTTAAATTTACATGGCCCCTAACATTAAAGTGCAAAAAACAAGGTACATGACATGGTAGCAATCCCGCTAATAACAAAAATTGCTTTAACGCAACATTGTTCTGAGCGTTCCATTTACGGAGCGAACAGATGTTTGCGCGCTTGGAACTGTTCTGACCATTTGGTGGAAACTTAGCATAAGATACATATGCAGCAGCTATACAGGTTAAAAAGCGCCTTCAATTCTCATATTGATTTCTAACCTTCATGGTTCAGATATCAAAAGCTATTGCAGAGTTTTTTTGACATATTGTGATATAGTAGGTAACCTTGTGAGCCGTTTTCGCTGCATAGAAATGTCGTTCACGAAAAGTTGATAGTTGTAGAATAGCGAATTGAATGCGGAATTCGTATGATCACAGACATTGATCGAGGTCTGACCTTTTGTTGGGGACATAGCATAATTGTTTAATACGTGATTTTTATTGATTTATGTTTATTTACCCATTTTCTATTGCATTTGTGTCTTCATTAATATTAAACTATATCTTCATAATTATTGTTTATAGCGGTTGAAAGAAATGGTCGCGCTGACCATACCAAAGGGCTCTATTCCAAAAATGACGGGCAAATCTTTGGAGCTGCATCTCGTCAACGCCAATCCGGACTTAAGGGGTAAGTTTGTGGAAAACTAAGAACATATAGTAATAATACTATAATGACTTTGTATGCGAAAAATAGCCACAATCCCATACTTAATCATTGGCTAAATTAGCCAGTCAATCGGGCGCCTAGACCGTTTGTTAAACGCTGGCATCCAATTAAATATTTAAAGGATAATTAGTGTAGTAATGAGCGCAACGTTTTGTTGCGTTGTTTAATGAATTACTCAGTTAAATTGGCTAGAGATGTTTTTTTTAACGTCTAGTTAGGTTTAGTTTGCTTAAACTCCATTTTATAATCTGGGCTGAGTCTTTTAAAGTCAGTCAATAAACGTTGAGATCAACTAAGTATCGGCCAAGGCATCAACTTGGGTACCACCGTCAGGCTTAGGTTGCTAACAAAAAAAAATGATCCAGATGGTTGCGAATGCTCCTAAGAAATTACGATCTTACCCAGGGTATTCTAATGGCCCCTCTTGCCGACCTTTTTTGATAGATTTAATTTTTATAGTTTTTTGAAATATTGACGAACTTTCATGAATTTTGCTATCAAAATTGTTATTGTGTTGGCGTAGTCTTAGTCTGTCATCTGCTTTAATATTATTTGTTTTTACTTTAAAATAGCATAGATGAGTTTGAGAGATAGAGATTGGTCTCGCTTTAATCATTTATCTATGTAAAATAGTATAAACAAACCCATTGCGCCCAAAATCCCAGCCTTCATTATCCATTCCACTAGCTCTCCGCTTCAGCCCCTATCTACTTACGTACCATAATAGTCGATAGTTTTGCTCTAAAGCAAGTAAAATCAATTCTTACGAACGAGCCTTCAATCCAGTTCAAGTATGGTGGCCCACACGTTGATTTTTACTCATCATCATCAGCCTATCAATGTCCCCACTGCTGGGGCACAGGCCTTCCCTATGGATGGAATAGGGGGATTGGGTCATGATTTCACTCGCTTTAGAGTAAATTAAAACTTTCGAGTAATAGCGTATGTAACTTTCGAATAAAGCCTATCACAGATCCGAGACTTCTGCATACTTTCAGTTTTCATCTTTTATGCTGTCTTATTATTTTCGATAACAACAAAACACGTATGAGTGTAAACTTGTGATACTTTCAGTACTTAACGGATATTAAATAAAAATTTGGAGTTCGAGCGGAGAATCGAAATATTATCGTACTTAAAGCCCGTGCGTATAGCAAGCTCGCTTATTCACACGTTTACACCAAGGTGTAATAAATAAATAAATCGACGGTTGAAAGGAAATATTGACTAAGCGACATTTTTGGTCATATTGAGTTAAATATACAGTTCGAACCGTCGGATTTTTCTGCGTCGATTGGTCGTGTTCACGTATTTCTACGACGACTTTTGATGTCGCTTATGCATAACGAATTTTAAGAATTTTCAGTTTTTTTTGTCTCTAAGAGACAAAAAATTTGTCATTTTTTTTGAAATTGTTGGTTGGCGTAGCTATTACAAGTAAGTTTTGCCCTTGGTAATTATTTGCATGTTGTGGTTGCGATAATTTCTTTACTTAGCTTATTTTGCTTACACCTGTAAATTTAGTTTTATGAATATGGTAAATTTCTTCCTGACAAAGAATATTTTTTGTAATCGCTTATCTCAAATTGACTGAATTCAAATTGTTTTTTGATGGCGTTTAGTTAAAATCTCCTATTTTTGTTTTATACAACACACCTTGTTCACCTTTGATTACCGATCTTATGTACACCATTTTCTGTCGGTTAGTAAATTATTACCTGCCGTTGTACAATATTGTTTTAATATTTAGGTAAGTTTTACTTGTAGTTATGGTATTATTGATTGATGGTTATACCCTACGGGTACCTCGCAACAGGTGTTTAAACTATTTTTACTTGAATGAATACACTGACAAAATATTGGTTATACCTACGGGAGCCTCGTGCGCGCTCGCTTACGCATACCGTGAAGTTAGTTACACAGGAACAAAGATACTACAGTGTGCGATGGGACGTCGCTTCGACAACACGCACGCGTTGTAATCACGCTCTTACTACCACTCGCGCTCGTCCCACCTACAATAAAGAAATACTGTATCTGTAAGTTTACCGCATGAACTTTTATTTAAATAGTTTTTTAATTGTTGTTCCTTTTAAAATACAGCATTATGTGTGTTTCAGATCAATGCAATGGAGCGAAGAAAACGTGTATGTAATATTTTGGAACAAGCTCTCGAATGCTCGGGAATTAATGTTAATCAACAGTTATTGGTATGTACCTACGCACATTTTGTAGCTTTTGTACTCATGATTTGATAGGCTTTATTTTTTTAGTAACCCTGTCTATTATGTTGAGGGTCTTGGGTTCGATACTTATCCGGGCCAAACAGTCATGCATGGTCCATGGTTTTCAGATAGTTGTATCTAAATGTAGGTATTATTATATTTTTGAATATCAGATTTTATTATGAGATGCAATTTTGTGTGCATGATCATGTCTGTTTGTATTGGCCTGGGTATTTTCTCTATGTAATAAGTAAGTATTTTTATTTTTTATTATCTTCGTGGCAGAGTATTATTACGCCGGGTTTCAAGGCTTTGTCGATTTCTCCTGCTCAGAAGTTCCGGGTTCGAATTCTGGTGAGGAAAATGTTACTATGATGAATACGAGGGTTTGAACCTAAGTTTTAGTTTCTAGATAAATATCCTACTTCCTAGTAATATTATAAATGCCAAAGTTTGTAATATGGATGTTTGTTATTTTTTCACGCAAATACTACTGATCGGATTTGGATGAAATTTAGTACACATGTAGTATATTACCTGGATTGAGACATAGGCTAGATTTTATCTCGGAAAAATGACAGCTTCCCGTGGGCTATTCTCCATTCTCAAAAAACTAAAATTATTGCGGCCGCTAGTACTTCTCAGTACATGTATCAGTTCAGTACATGTAATCTATTTCTTACCCTTAAATCCGATAACACAAGCCTCGAGCTGTTACGTTTGAGGTTAGATGGCTCTGTGTAGCATGTCATGCAATATATTCTAGTGCTTTAATTATCTATTAATAATAATAACTTTTTCCCTGTTTCAGGCCTCTAAAACGTCTAGAAAAGCAAACTCGAAAAACCGTAAAAGAGTTGAATATCTAGTTAAATCTAGGGCATTGGAATCAAAGGAAAACAGTTATAATAAATCAAAATTAAAAGTATGTGTAAGTATTGACATCAATTAATTATACAAGAATCGTTTATCTAGACATCATCTTAATCAATTTCTATTCTACGGCTTCCAATTTCCAGACCTTATATTTCTCTACATCCCATACAAAATGACCAAACGACGTGATCGAGGTTTTATAAATTTATATATTTTGGAAAATCGTGTAAAAGAATACATGCGCGACAGGATAAAACTTTGAACAATGTAGGTACCTACCTAAATTTTAGATATAAAATAATAGAACATTTTTAATTTATTTCAGAATAAAATACTATCCAACTGCACTTCAATTGTACCGACAGCGTCACGACGCATTACCGAAGATGCAGAGAACTATAACCCTGAGGAAGTTTTTGATCACACAGAGTTTGATTCTTATGATGGTGCAGGTTTTTCGACGATTTATTTCGACCCACTGCAGAAAAAAGAAATTGCTCCACCAAACTTACCTTTAATAGCTGATGTCGCCATAGATCCTGACTGACGAATCTGACCCACTAAACTTTTCGATGGATAAAACTACCCCAGATCCTGACCCCTCGCAGAATGAGCAAACTACCCCACCATACTTACCGTCGATAGATGTCGCCGCTGCAGAACTTGGCCCCTCGCAGAATGAAGAAACTACCCCTACATACTTACTGTTGATAGATGATGTCGCCGCAAAACCTGCCCTCTCGCAGAATGAAGAAACTGCCCCACCACACTTGCCGACGATAGATAATGCCACCTCAGACCTTGAGCACTCGCAAAGTGAAGAAACTGCCCCACCAAACCCACCACCGATGGATGATGCCACCACAGATCTTGACCCCTTTCAGAATAACGAATCTGCCCCAACAAACTCACCTTCGACGGATGATGTCGTCCCTGAACCTGACCCCTCGCAAAATGAAGGAACTACCCCACCATACTTACCGTCGGTAGATGATGCCATCATAGATCTTGACCCCTCGCAGTATGACGAAACTATCCCCCCATACATACCTTCGATAGATGATGCCGCCGCAGATGATCCGCAACATGATAAAATCTCGCGTAGAAAGAACTTACCTCGGATTGATGGTGCCATTCCAGGTGGTAGTAGGCGTAAACGAAAAGCCAAAACAAGTAGCCGATACGTGGACTACATGTCTGATGAAGATTTCTCCACAGTATTTGGTTCTACTGTAACTGATTCAGATGAATGGGCAGGATCAGAAGTGTCAGATAGTAGTGAAGAACAAAGCCAGACAAAAAAGAAGAAACCACAAAAAAATAAAAAAAATAAACGTAAACTGTTGAGCAAAAATGAAAGGATGAGAAAGATAATATTACAAAAGAAAACATGAATGCTGACGATGAAAATGTAGGAGAAAGCGGTTTGAAAAGAAAGAAGAAAAACACGAGAAAGGAAAGGTCAGCCTTGAAACAATCTGGAAAGACGTACACGAGAACAGATGGTAAAATTGTGCAAGAAAAAACAATTCAACCCAATCCATGCAAGGGTAAAAAATGTGGAAACAACTGTGAAAATGTAACTGAAGAAAAAAGACAGCAAGTATTCAATCATTTTTGGACGCTTCCCTCTGAAAGGCGTAGAGATTGGTTGGTTGGCATGACTAATAGGGAACCCGTTAAACGTAAACGTGTTGATTCAGAGAAGCGTTCTAATACATTTAGGTATTGTATTACTGAAGGAGAAGGAAAAAGAGTTGTATGCTTACAGTTTTTGGCAGCAACGTTAGATATATCACAAAAGTGTATATATTACACTGTTAGAAATGCTAATTGTGGAACTTCTAGAGACGACTTGCG